GTTTCTGTCTAACAGTTTGAAGTAACCAATACCACGAATACTGTCTACTGGTGCAAGATCTTCAAGCCCTCCCTCAACAAGAAACATCACATGATAGGAGTAAGTACAATGATACAAATTCAAATTTTTCGAGTAGACGCGAATTTGAAGATAATTCTCGATGCTGTTGATGGAATGCAAAGGCTGGGCTCTATTCGTATGTGCTTCACGAATCACGGTCATTCATGCCGGACGTCGTACGGGGTAGACGCGCGTCGTAGAATAAAAAAAAGACCCGGAATGATGTCACTGCGCACACCGAAACGTTCGCCGACTATCAATGGGAGAATGATCGCGAGAAGAATGATCACAATCGTTCCCAGGGCCCCACCGCAAAGTCCCACCCTACGATGGTCCCAGATCTTTCGTGTCAATGGCTACGTTTACACCGTGCATTTAGGCCGCGGCCTATACAATAGATGTCCTTGTTTATCTTGTAGATTAAACAAAGACACCTATCATATAGGTCGCGGACTAAGCGCACGGTGTAAACGTAGCCTATATTCTCCCAAGTTTCTACGAACATAATCTTCCCGAACTAAAGATATCTCGCGCAAAGTTTGCCTGATAATCTAAGGCAGAGCGAGCTTAGGCGTTCTTGCGTTCATACATTATCTATGCGTTTCAGTATACACCACTCATAGAAAAAGGCAACGAGGATCTCGTGCATCACATAATTCTGTATGAGTGCACATCGCCAATGCTCGGCAAATATACCAGAATGGCCGGCAATCATTGTTATATTTCGGCAGTGCCGAAGGAATGGAATTCGTGTTTGCAACCCATCCTCGCTTGGGCTCGTGGCAGTAAAGGTATAAATTATCCAAAGTGCAGACAGAGATAATTGTTCAGTTACAATATAATAATAATAGATTCTTACGCGAAATCTCTTTGGCAAAGTAATTTGTACAAAATTTCACAGTCCTAAAAAGTCTAAAACTTAAAACAAGGTCGATGAAGTCGATTTAAATTCGTGTTAAAGAAAATTTCTGAGTAATGTACACACAAAGAGCAATATGTATACTTAAAGATTTCCTTTAATTTTACAACACAAGCAGTAATAGAATCGTCTACTGTTGTGCAGGGGAATGGATGCCAGAACACGTCGGTATACCTGTAGCGGAACAAAGTGAGAACTCATATTATATGCTGGAAGTTCATTACAATAATCCGATGTTGAAGAACGTGAACGATAGCAGCGGCGTAAGACTTTATTTGACTGAGAAGCTTCGTCCTCAGGAAGCTGGCATTCTCGTGACCGGCGTGGCAGTGAGCCCTCTTCATCTAATACCTCCGCAGCGAAAGGAGTTCGCCACCGTCGGATATTGTACTTCAGCGTGCACTCAGATAGTAATTGAAGAATTATACGATATTAAATTATTCGCACGTAGCAAGCATAAAATGGAATGTGTAGAAGAAATAAAATTGATCTCAAATGTTGTTTCAGATGTTCCCTGAAGATGGTATCAACATCGTATCGGTTGTCTTGCATTCGCATTTGGCTGGTCGACGTCTCGGCCTGAAGCATATTCGAGAAGGTAAAGAGCTACCGAGGATAGTCCAGGACAATCATTACGACTTCGACTACCAGCAATCTTATACTTTGGAAAAAGAAGTGAAGGTGTTGCCTGGCGATGAGTTAGCCGCGGAATGCGTTTATGGTACTCTGGATAGGAAGAAACCGACTTTTGGGGGTTACGCAGTTACCCAGGAAATGTGCCTAGCATTCGTCGTGTATTATCCCAAAACACCTCTTGCCGCGTGTTATAGTATGACGCCCGTTAAGCATCTTTTCAACATTTTGGCTGTAACAAACTTCCGGGGAATGACGATGGATTACTTGGAAGCACTGTTTCTAACGAATGGGTAAGTTTTTTCACGCGGAATAATTATAGGATATTCACGATTCTTATAAAACACGAGTATCAATTATATTATCACGAAAATCCTTTAATTTAATTCGTGCCATTATTTGTGTCAATTCTTTGATGAAATATCTTTCAATTCATGAAATATTAATTTTTATCTCCTTTAACTAAGAAAAAAGAAAAGGAAAAGATGGATTTAGATAATTTTAAATTAAATATGTAGATTGTGATCTTGTCGTCTGGTTCAAATATTTTTGTTCATAAAAAATTCTAGATCTGAATTGATTACGCCTTCAGCCAAACAGCTTCCTAGTCATTCGAAATCAATCGATGAGATCGATGAGACTATCATTAAAGAAGCTAAGTCTGCATTAATAGCGATGAAAGATCACATAGAAGAGAGTGAGGATGATAACATCTTCACGCGACTCATCATTGAGGATCCTATAGAATTTCGAGGTATATATGATAGGAGTAAAATGTCATATAAAAATTAAATAACTAAAACGTTGATAAATATGAAATCTTTTGCCTCATTAAAGAGAATATTTCCAACACACTCCCTCTAATATTTTCTTAAATTTTCAGGCCGTACTTTTGCCGAACATATGATGCTAATGCAGTGGAAGGATGATTTGTTAGCGAAACCTGTAGAATATAATTTGTATCACGGCGAACATATGACATTCTGCAGAAAGAGGGATGACCAATTAGCACTGGTAAAATCTCTCAATATAATATATTTTTAATTAAACTTTTCCAAGAAGAGTATAAGTACTGGAAAACATTATTGGATAAATCAAATAATGAGCAAATAAATGCTTATATACGCCTTTGAGGTTGTTAGTTCGTAAATAATATATTTATGAGGCGATAAAATATAATTTGCAAACAATTGGAATGAACTTATGAATATATTATTTACTTACTAATAACCACGAAAACTCATGTAAGCAATTTTACTTATATTTGATTTATTCTTGAAGCTACAAAACTAGTTTTTTAGTTACCAGATAATTTCGATGATATTATAGATTAAATTATGTCAGTGTTGTTATATTATTTATCATTTCATATTAATTTTTTTTATTTACTCTTTAAGCAACCAAATATTCTGAACTTCCCGAATTACACGGCGCTACCGGAAATGAACACTTGCGAACTTAAGTCTGGCTCCTCCAGAGTTTCCTACATCCATTGGATAAATCTGGTCATTACAATCATCTCATTGATCGCTATATTATAAGAAGACTCAAGTGAATAGTTAACGACAGTTAAAGGCGACGTGATAAACGCATTTCGCACTGTTAATTAATGCGAATACAGGGTTTTCGTGATGAATGTTTTCTGTATATTTTCAAATTTGTAAAACACAAACCTGATTAACTTATTAATTTAAGTAATTTTACCTTATAAGGCGAGCGATTTTCTTGAACGAGCACCGCTTGAAACAAGTCAAGATATTCCTAAAGTATTAGGTGACTGGTCAATTTCTCCTAGCAAGGAGACGACAAAATTTTCAAAAAGTTTTTGTTAATCCGGCACACTAAAAACACATATATGTATAAATAGATATAAATATAGAATACATAATATAATATAATGTGTAAATACGTAATTATCAATTATACATATTTATAAGGCGTTTTACTATTTTGTAATGCGTGTGTTGTGTAAAAATAAACGTTTGTAAATATTTTCTCCGAACACATATTCTTGTTAATACATTCTTATCTCATCTTCTTTCCATCTAATAGAGAGAGAGAGAGAGAGAGAGAGAGAAGAGAAGAGAGAGAACGTAAATTATTATATATATATTTCCAGATGGCACAGAGAATTTAAAAAATAATTCTTTTTAAATCCCTGAATTGTGAAAAAAAAAATATTTTCTTCTTGTATCCCATTTTTGATCCATAAATATTTTTAAAAGTTCCTTTTAAAATATAAAATTTCTAAATTAATTTTTATAGATAATTAAACAAAATTGTATTTGTATATCAAAATATATTTATCAATACAAATAATTAAATCTTTACTAAGATTAGGTAATTTAATTCAGAATTTGATTAAAAATTTTTCAACTGCAAACTCCCAACAGCAATAGCTGTAACGTGAAACGAATCTGTACTGAAATTTCCAGTTATCAAAGCAATTATCTTTAAATAATACTTTTTTTGTTCTACAGAATGATCCGAAATTCCCGCATTCGGAATAGAATACTTTATGCTAGGACATGATACTTTATGCTAAAAGAAATAACTTTTTCCTTTTGAAAAAGGAAAAAGGATAATTTCAGAATAATAATAAATAATTAAATAATAATTAAATAATAATTTAATAATAATTTAATAATTTTAGAATAATTTTTTCAGCGAAATTTTTTCACCAGGGTATTTATATATATTTATACACGAAAAATTTTTTACTGGGAATTTTTTTACATTCTAGAATCTAATTTTCTTCTATATTATTCTTCTTAAATATTAATTCACTATTTTTTATTATTTTTAGACGAATCAAGATCTTCATGATGAATTAGATATTGATAAAACCACTCAAATTTATATCACATTAAATGTTATACAAACAACGAAATACAAGGTTTACAGAAAAATTGAATTACAGAAATTTTACAAATTGTAGCAGATTTAATATTTAATTTTAAAACAGATATAATTAATTATTTAATTACTATAAATTTTCGTACGTTCATATATATTTAACATCTCTCAAATATTGGATTTATTGGACTGAAATAGATTTCGCTTAATGATCTTATCCAAGTGCGATTTCGATCCTTTGGAATTAAACTGCGACACGGTTTTAAAGGACACCCACGCACGACCTCCGCCCCATGGACAACCCAGTTCGTAATTTTCCACCTGGTTAAACCGAATGCATCGCGGTTTTCCAATCTTTTCGCTCGCAACATTGCCCGTTCGCGCTTTGTTCACGGCGATCTTGTCACGTTGGCGTATGGGGCACCATGTGGCTGCCGCTGATAAGCGGCGAATTGCGCTTTTATCAAATTACGAGGCGACTCCTGCGAGTATAAAAGCCGCTGCCTCGGGACGTCCGGCGTCAGCAGCTTTCTGGAGCACCAACGAGAAGCACTTCTCGCCGGAAGACTTGAAGAGCCCTTCGAAATATCTCACGAAGCTTGATCGCGACAGCCCATAGTTCCTCAGGTATGATACTTCTTATTGTTGCGAGATACCGCGATATTCTTGAGTTATTAACGAAATCCGTTGCCCAAAGTTTCACTCCAAATTTCAATGAGAGACATTGTTAAAAAGAAAAATAAGAACAAGATATTGCCAAGTATATTATACGTAAAAAAATAGTTTCAATTTTCTTTCCGAAGCTAACATTGTATCAATCGTTTTTGGATTTTAATTATTCTAGACTCGATTCAATCGACTTGATATAAACGATGGGGGTATAATATTGCTATTAATTAATTAAAAACTAATTAATTAAAATTACAATGAGAATTATGATATTTTGCAGCAAGATGCGGCGAACGCGCCACGTAGTGCTACCCGTACGATCCTGGCAGTACATCGGATTTCTAATAGTATCGTTGGCGTGTCTAACTTTAGGATTGGTATCCAGGGATAGGGAAGGACATGCTGGAAGTCTCGCAGGTCCTGAACTCACGCATCGAGCTCCCCACGAGTATGAAATTAATTATTTTCCTTGCTTAAAATCGTAAATGCTTCTTCAATTACGCATTGTTTTTTAAATTCCGTAAATGTTTTTTATTACGATTTTTTAATTTTCCTAAGAATTTTATACACTTTTTTTAAAAATTGCTATTGCAAAGATTATAGACGAGCATTATTTTTAGAGTGGACGCCTGTCCGAATTTGAATCCTTTCGTCGAAAGCCTGATTGCCGAACCGAAAAAAGTTACAAAACCGGCGATTAATAATCATCAAATGAAAGTATCTGAACTTAGAGCACCTATGTCTCGAAAGTCCGTACTTCCTCGATCACTGAGTCTGGATCGCTCGTCTAGGAGCAGTTTGCAGGAAACCAGAGAGCGATTGTCTAGAAACCGAGATCTGAGGACAGTCGAGAGACTTTCAAGATCGACGAGTCGCATATCCAACGACGAACCCATCAACCGTGTTCAAGAATCTCGATTTAGAACGATTGCGCAATCCCGTGACGCCAGGAACTCATTCGATCTCGCCACTCGATTCTCTCGATCGCGGGATTTGTCTAATCGAGCAACCGGTCGCCGTTCTGTCGAGCAAAATCTCGAACGACGTTTGGCCGATTCTGCAAATTCTCGTCTTGAAAATCGCAGATCGCGATCCATGGAACGGCGGGAGTTTAGCGAAATCGCGCGACAACAAAATCGCGATCGATCAGCGGATCGGCGAGACTCTTTGAATTTTCAACGTCGTACGAGCAATTATCGTGACCGTCAATCACTCCCAGAGCGACGAATCAATCGGCAAGAATCTCGCGAAATCCTAATCTCTGGTCGTCGCGAACATCGAGATCTAACACGAAATCGTGTTCCGAATTACCGATCTGAGATACGCGAACGTAGATCTGTCGAGCGTCGCATGTCAATCAAACATCGAGACGTGGATCGTCGGGAGGACAACAAAAATCTTTTGAAATCAGCAAGATTCGCACGAGGAGATATCGATCGCAACAATAATATGGATCGCCGAAACCGCGAACGATCTCTGGAAAATCGCCGAGCTCTTCTCGATCGCGTTGCTAATCAAGAACATAGATCGCGATTATCGGTCGCTATCAGGAATTCTCGTGGAGATCTTGTTAAATCTGACGATCGTCGAACGTTGTCTCGATCAATGGAACGTTCAAGTGTCAATAATCTCAATCGCGAAACTCTTAGTAGACGAGTTAGATCGGTTGAATCCAACACCGAGAGATCCGAAGAACGCAGATCGTCCTTCGAACGTAGATCATTGGACCGATCTATGGAACGTCGTGAAATAGCAGGACACCAGAAAGCAGAGAATCGTTTTGGCGATCGAAAATCCGTCGATCGAATGTCGCGAGCCTCATCCGAAAACTTGCGTCGAGAAAGAATCGATCGCTCACAAAGGGCTGCAAGTCGACGTGACACGCGTGAAAACACGGCTATCAGGGAGAATTATAGAATGGCACGATCACGTTACGACGTCGAAGAAATTGCGAATCGAGAACGAAGAGAAAGATTCGCACGATCCTCCCGTTTAATTGATCGTAATTCGGCAGATCGTCGGGAAATCGCGAGGATTAGAGACTCCAGAGATTACAATCATAGATCGCGCGATGCTGCGACAGCAGAACGACGAGATTCGACTCAGGAACAGCGAGAAAGGACGAATCGTTTGTACCGATCACGCGAAGAACAAAGGATCGTTCCTCAGAGATCACGCGAGGTTGAACGACGTGTGTTCGAACGAAGAGTTCCGGAAAGGCGAGTTTTGGAGCGACGAATCATTTTGGATTCAGCACGTCTCGATTCGCGAAGATCGTCGGAACGAAGGATCGACGACAGCTTAAAATCGCGTGAAGGATCCAGATTAGCAGACCGTTCGGAACGAAGCCTGGAAACACGAGTTTCTCGCGGAAGAATCCTAGAAAAGCGATCTATTCTTAATTCTCGAAGATCTTCAGAACGAAGGCTCGACGACAATTCTAAATCGCGTGAAGAATTTAGACTAGCAGATCGACGTTCAGAACAGAGTTCAGAAGCACGAGTTTCTCGCGGAAGAATCCTAGAAAAGCGATCTATTCTTAATTCTCGAAGATCTTCAGAACGAAGGCTCGACGACAATTCTAAATCGCGTGAAGAATTTAGACTAGCAGATCGACGTTCAGAACAGAGTTCAGAAGCACGAGTTTCTCGCGGAAGAATCCTAGAAAGGCGATCTACTTTCGACTCTCGAAGACCTTTAGAACGAAGGATCGACAATTTGAAATCACGCGAAGGATCCAGACTAGCAGACCGACGTTCGGAACGAAGCCTGCAGGAATCGCGAGTTTCTCGAGGAAGAATCGTGGAAAAACGATCTATTCTTGATTCTCGAAGGTCTTCAGAACGAAAGATCGACGACAACTCAAGGTCGAGTGAAAAATCGAGGATGCAGGATCGGCGCGTGGAACGGAACTCCGAATTGCGAAATTCGATGCTTCCAATGGAGCGCAAAGCAAATTCTAAAACAGCATCTCTCGAGAACCAAGCACTACGTTCATCAGAAACACGACGCGAAATCAGACGTCTCGCAGAGCGCCGAATGGCTCAATCAGTCGAGAATCGACCAGTTGAGTTTCGTGAAAGAGAGTCCATCAGACACTTGCGTCAAAGATCAGCGAGGAACATCGAGGACTCATCGCGACTCTCTTCTCTTCGCCGAGTCATCCGTGTACCTGAACAAAATCGCGAACAACGAAGATTGTCTGCTGAGAGGACGCTTACTAGAACCGTGAACAATGAACGATTATCCGCAAAATGGGAACGAAACTTGCAGGACGCACGCATTGAAAGAAATGTGGAAATCAGGGCAAAAATCGTTTCTAACTCAATGAAGGACTACAAATTTTTCAAGTATCCTATGGCTTACGATCTTATGAGGCAAGCTTTCATCGTGGCATTATGTACTGTTTATGGATTTTCCCTCTATAATGGAAAAAAATCTTTTCTTGGGTAAGCCATTCAAATTACTGGACTTCCTTAGAACGCAAACTATAAATAAGTGTTATAATTTTCTTATAATTTAGCATAGGCTATAAAAAACTATAATTCTCAAAATAGATTATCAATAAAAAAGTAATTTTAAGAATATATAATATGAATAAAATAGAATGCTTAACATGTTGTAATATTTTTGCAGGAGCAACATAATCCAGCATGCCCAGCGCTTCATAGTTTGGTAAAATAAAATATAATCGGCTACTGAACAACGGCAATGAAAATCGTTATCCTCTGGACCTCTGCTTCTATCGATCTTATTATTTTATGAATTAAGATATTACGTTGCAATATGTGTAATGTGTAATGTTCCCAAAAATAATCAGAATGTAGATTAATGTAGATTAATGTACAGCTCATATATGTCCTGTAGAAATGTGTATATCTAAGAAGATATATTTTGTGCGAAAATAAAATAGTTGCAGTCGTAGTTAAATACTTTGAAATAATTTTTCGAAAAACCTTTCATATTTTTTACTATTTCAAAAAATTACATATATATACAGGGTGTTTCCAAATTAAATGGCAAAACTTCGGGAGCGTGTAGA